CCCGTCACCGTGCGCGTGGGTTTGGAGGGGCGCGGGCTGAAATCGCGCTAAGTTATTCACAAAAGCGTATAAAATGCATCGTCCCTCCCCCCTAAATACTGGGAAATGCTGCTGACATGATAATGTTTAATAAAAACGTAAATAAAGTGATACCAGCCAGATTTGGGGGGAAGAACAGAATGATGTGGGATAGGAGGAGGACAGGTGGGACCCCGAGAGGCTGAACTGCGGGGGGACGGGGGTCTCCCAGCCCTGATGGGAAGCGCTGGAGGAGAGGGGACTTCCACCACAGTGCCCTCTGCGGGGGTTCCGATGGCTGATCCTTGGCCGGGGATTTTGGGAAACTTCCAGGGGTGGGGACTTTGGAGCTGGGCAGTGATCCCAGCAGGCAAACACCAAACTTTCCAGCCCAGGTCAAGCCTTCAGTCCCCAGCCTCCCGGCTCTCTCTGGCTGCGGCTCCGCTCGTGAAGGAGAGTGGTAAGCAATAAACATGGGATGCTAATTCCAGTTCCCAGGTTCGAACAGGGATCCGGTGTCCCGCACATCACCCCCTGCCTATCTCCTGCGGCCCCCCGGCTGTTTTTGAAGCGGGACCGGCAGGGGCTGGGGGGGCTTCCCCGCCCCGGGCGCTTCTCTCCCTGCCGTAGCCGTGTCCGACGGACAAGGGATCGCTGCGCTGGCCGGGGGGGGTTTCCTCCGTGATTCACTGGGGTTGCTTAGAGACAGACGCTGGTGAGGTCCAGAGCTGGAAATGTTCCGTCTTGGAAACAGTGAAGCTAAACTTTGCCTTAAAACGGGAGCAGGTCTGCTGGGAGAAGCGCACCTGGCCGGGTCCTGGCTCCGCTTTTGGGTCTCTGCAAGTGATGGCCGGTGCTGGCAGCCCGGGACCCTCTGCTCGGGGTGGGCACGAGGCCGTGGTGGGGGGCAGGGGCAGTGCTCGTGCCCCAGGAAGCCCTGCGCCCAAATAGGGGGTCTTGCGCTGTTGCCAGCAGTTGGAGATGGATGTAGAGATGGGGATGCCCTCTTCTTGCCTTCTTACGCTCTCCGGGTCTCCAGGCTGGTGGCTCTGGGGCTAGAGCCAGGCTGTGGGGACGAGGGAGCCGGGCAGCAGCATTGCTCTCCTTCCCCTGCCGTGGTCCTGCTGCTCCTGCCGAGCTCGCCCTCCCGTGCCGGCTGCCGAGCAGAGGTTGGGGGCAAGCTGGTACCAAAACCGTCTCTGGTGGGAAGGGAGAGCGTAGCAAGACGATGCTGATGAATGCCAAGCGCTGTGGATTCAGCTGTGGTTACTTGGGGAAGCAGCGCTGGCAGCGAGTGGGTATGAGATGATGCAAAGCAAAGGCACGAGCAGAAAGGCGACGGGAGACGGAGCACCACAGATGCAGGACTTCTTGGGAGCGAAGTTGGAAGTAGAAGCTACTTGGGTTCTTCTGTGATGGGAGCATTTAAATATAAACAGGTGGGTGTTAATGGCTGCGGTTTGGAAGCAGAAGGCAATAGAGACTGAGCCCCCAAGATGGCAGTGAGGAGCTGTTGAGCCCTGTGTCTTGAAGCAGGAGGGTGGCCAGCGTGGTCCTGAGCACAGCTCTTCTCACCTATAGCGTATACTGTCTGCTATTCCACGGAGTTTAATGTGGCACCAGATTAAGGTATCCCCTATGGCCGCACTGGGCTGGCGTCTCGCTGCGATTGCTGCTGACCATCTGGACTTGTTGACGTAAGGCATAAAAATGGCTTTTCCGTCATGCCTGCAGAGATGCCACCCGGCACCCACCCTCCAGGGGACCAGCCCGTTCCCCCGTCCTGGCCAAGCCTCTGCCGGGAGCTTGTGCCCCGTGGGCTCAGCCTGCAAGCTGCTGTCTTGGAGGATGCAAGGTACCGAGCTGGAACAGGGTGAAGAACAAAGCTGTCGCTCTGTCAAAGCCTGTGCTGCGGGCACAGCGGTGCGGATACACCCTCAGTCCTGCCTCGGTTTCCCTGTTGCGCAGAGTAACCCTGACCTGGATCCCAAAGGATCCTGGACTGTGCCCTCCTGCTTTGCGAGGACTTGATGCTTCCTGACCTTGTCTGCCTTGCCCAGAGGCAGCTGGAGGGAGACCTCTGCACCGCAGCAGGTCCCTGGGGCCAGCCGGGTGCCTCCAGCCCCTGCAACACCCTCCCCGGAGCAGGGGGAGAGGGCAGAGACCCTCCTGTTTCAAAACGCAGCTTGTGCAATGCTGACACGTGGAATTCATCAGGAACAGCTCACTACATCTCGGCTGCCGGCTGGCTGAACGGGGATCCCCATCAGCGCATCGCGCGCTGCTGGGCTGTATCAGAAGTTAGTGTCCGTGTGCGAGCACCCTGAGCCGGTGCAGGTGACCCCCAGCAGCCTGCATGCTCACTGCTTTGGTGTGCACGCTGCTTTTTTTTTTTTTTTGGTCTTTTTACTCTAGCAGCTGTCATAATACATTGTGATGCTGGAGAAAAATCCTCCCTGCATCAGCTGTGCTGGTTGTAAGAGCTGGCTGTGCCAGCTGGGTGACATGGCTTGTAGGACGCACGTCGTCACAGCCCGTTTCTGCGTGCCTGGTATCCACAAGCCTCTGCCCCGGCTGGGCTGCGCGCTCGGGACACGGCGCGGAGGTGAAAGGCTCCGTCATCCCCAATCCCTTTAGCCGTCTTGGCCTCTGCTTGTGTATTTTTAACCTTTTTGCTGTGCTAAGCTGCCTGGGGCTGAAGTGTCAGCGGGCACTGGGGAATACAGCCTCTCGCCGCTTTGCCAAGCCTGGGATTTCAGGATCAGTGGCTCTTATCTCCAGATCCGGAAATACCACCTTCTGCCGGTGGCGCATTTGGAAAATTTTAGCGACCGCGGGTTTAAGCACAGGGAAGGGGATGCCCTGACCCGCAGGGACTGGCTGCCACGCGGCAAAGCTGCTCCACTGCCGGCATCTGTACCCGATCCAGCCGTCGCCACGATGCCCATCACTCGGCGGCGTGACATGAGAGGTCCCTGTGCCAGGGGGACGCTCTCTCCCGCACCCCCTAAAATAGGCAGAGAGGAACGCTCCGTGGTCACCATGGAGTCTGACCCCGCCGCTTTCTCCCAGCAGACCAGTCTCTGTCCTGGCGAAATGGGTGAATTCTCCCCATCTTAAAATTGCCACCCTCCAGGTCTCTAGTTAGGAGAGACCTAATCACGGCTGAGTTTCTGGATGGTGTATCCTGTCCGTAGGTGTGCGACCGTGTGTCCGTCCCTCTGAGCCTCTCCGTGGGGAGCTGGCTGTGACCGCGCGCTCACCAGGTTACCTGTACGGGGTGGCCACCCACTGCTGCTCTGCAGCCGGCTCCTCGGCTTTCCCTCCTCTTCCTCTGCTGTTCGAAACCCATCTCCCCACAGCCCAAAGGGAGAAGGGATCCCGCTGCTCACCTCCTGCCAGCCTTTTTGTCCTTGGGGAGCCGAGCCCGAATGCAAACTCTGGTCCCCCTCCATAAAATCACCTTGGTGGGCTCAGCCGGGTCTGCAGGGCAAGGGCAGAGCAAAAACGCCGTCCTCTCCTGGTACCGGAGTTGCTTTTGAGGGTAAGGGCCTTTCCACATACCGTCTAGATTAAAGCTAGCTTTGAGTCCTTTAATTATTTTATTTTAGCTTAGGTGGAGGAGCCCAGCTGAGCTGTCGCAGTGTGCTCTCGTGGAGGTAGCGTGCTTGCATTTTGTCCCGTTGCTTCTGTTACTTGCCTGCAGTTACTTCTCTTAGCTCGTTATTTGGGGTCGGTGGTGGGTACCTCGTAGATGGCTCCCAGAGGCTGCTGTTGTATCGCCGACACCACATGCGGAAACGCTGGTGAGAAGGGGTTTGTGCCTGGCTGGCGGGGACTTTGTGCGGGGGTGTTGGTGACGATTTCCTACGGGGGTGGGTCACTTCCCACTGCTGCAGCCATTGCCGTGCCCCCACGGCTTGGGGCCTCTGAGCTGCAGGAACATAAACGGTCTGGTTCTATGCAGAGGAGCTGGGGACTAATAGAAGAGGTTTTAAAGAGTCTGCTTGCTGTGGTCCTTCCCCTTGGAGCTGAACAAGACCAGGGCACAGCATCCACCTGTTACTGAACCACAACCTCGGGCACCCGAGCTCCACCGCGCCGTAGGTCAGGGCTGGTGCGCTCCTGCAAGAGCGTGCTTTGCTCTCCGCCTCCTCCTCTGCTCTCTCCTCCTGCCCCGCTGCTGCCCTGCGTTACTTCTTCATGACCTGGGGCTTCTCCTGCTACAAATCATCTTCCAAAATGTAATGCTATGAGGGCAGAAGGGTGCAAGACCAGGTGGAGGGAAACCTGGGTTGCCCTGCCTGCTGGCTGGGATGTCTCTGGCAAGATGCTTTCACTGCTCGAACTCTTTTCTCACTTTCTTTTAAATGTACCTACCTAATGACTCTCAGTATAATTAAGTGAAGTTCTGGGTTTTTTTTCTCTCTGCACATCTTTTCTGCTGTAGCTGCTGCTCTAGCATTTTATTTGGGGAGCCAGCTGTCTGGGGTGTTACACCCAGCCTGACTTCGGCGATAAATGTTTATATTCAGAACACCACCACGAAGAAAGGCAGGAGGCAGGTGTCCTGGCAGGGACGGCAGTGTTCTCCTTGTGCATCAGGTCGTTTCTCACTCCAGCGAGTGCCTCGGTACGGGGGCCTGCCCTGGGCGCGCCTCGGAGCCCGCGGTCACGCAGCCCGGTGCCACTGCTGGTCCCTGCCCTGATGCCATCTGGGGTGGGATTGCGATGCTGACACCGAGGGACGCCTCTTCCCAGGTGCAAAAAGGTTGTCTCCTCCTAGCCGAGTGTTTTATACTGATGGGAAGCAGCAAAAAGAAGTCGGGGGGGTATATGTGTCTGTCCACGCAGGGCCACCATGAGGCGTGTTCAGGTCTGCTGGTGTTAGGGGGGGACATTTGGGGTACAGGGAACACTTCAGCTCCTTCCCAGCAGCCCACAAATTCCCACCTAAGACACTATCAAGCTATTTGTTTTCAGGCACTGAGGCTAAAATAAGCTTTTTCTGACAACCTCCATCTGTGCACTCCCACTTTTTAAAAATTTTTAAAAAGGATTTGCACAACTGTAATGGATTTGGACATAGCAAAGAAGCCAGTTGCAAACGGGCAAACCTGCTGCGCAAGGACTTGGCCAGCACAACCTCCCTGAGGTCCGTGGAGTCGGAGGAAGGGAACCCTTCCCGCGTGGCAGAGCTGAGCGCCTCGACGGTGCTGCTGGGTGTGCTGGGGATAGTACAGGTGCTGGCTGATGCGGTGCTCTGGGCGTTGTTGGTTACCAGCCTGTTTTATGTGGGGTTTTTTGGGTTTTTTTTGGCAAGGTGTGTGTGTAACTGTCCTCTCTTCTCTTCAGGACAGAGTCATCAATCTAGTTGTTGGCGGCTTAACGTCCGTGCTGCTTCTAGTAAGTATCTCCCATCCTGTGTTTCGTGCCTCCCTTAGGGGACGGGGTGAAAACCAGAGTTCCTCCCCAACACAGGCAGCGAAACTTTACCAACTGAGCAGGCTGTAGTTTGGGACCCAGGCAGTCACTCTGGGGTGCATCTGACTTTTGAAACTCTTTGACAACACGAGAAGGAGAATACCTTTCTTCAAGCCATGCTTTAAGATCTGGCTGTGCAATAAAAAGCCCCAAGGCCATGGGCAGATTGTCCATCCCAGCTGAACGTGAGGCTGCGTGAGATGACAAAGTGTTTATGACCCAGGAAAAGTGTTTGCTTCTCCATATTTCCTTCTATTTAGGATTTATCTCTCCTATTTATGGCTTATAGGAGTTTTTCCAAAGTTTGTCACTTTGTCTCGAGCTATGCTTTCCCCAGGCTTTAAAGACAAACCCAACGCCATCGCGACTGGAGAGCATCAGTCCCGCGGTCCGTGGCGGCAGCATCGTTTGCGAGCTGCGGTGCAGGGAGGCGGCAGGGAGAGCCAGGTGCCAGCTGGTGGAAAGCTTGGCTGAGGGGATGCTCCTCCACGGGCAGCGTGCACCCCCGTGCCTGCTGGCTTTAGGGGTACTTGGAGGATGGTTTCCAGCAACAAGCCAGAGCAGGAAAGCTTTCATCCTTTTTTTTCCCCATCCCTCTAAGGCTGCAGTTGCTTCAAAGCGACTTTCCTCTAGAATTTTACATTTCCCTCCAGCTCTTCATGGGGTGGGAGTTGAAGAGCAGGGAGGGGCGTGCGGCCCTGGATGCGAGCGCTGCGGTACGCCAGCCGTGGGGGCGAGCCTCTCCTCGCAGGCGAGAGCAAAGTCTTCATCTTTGTTTTCCTCCATACAGGTCACTCTAATCAGTGCTTTTGTCTTCCCGCAACTACCTCCAAAACCTGTGAATATATTTTTTGCTTTCTGCATCTCCTTGTGTTGCATTTCTGCTGGCATACTTGTAAGTACCGCCACGTCTGCCGTACGAGCTTTTAAGTCTATGACAGGATGAAATCTGAATAAAATCTGCTTTATGTGGTGCCGCCTTCTTTTTTACACTCTCCTAGAAAAGCTTTCCTGCCTCCATAAAACAAGTTGACAATGCAAGAGTGGTAAGCAGTTTCGTATTTACTGCAGAGTAAGCGTGTGAACTAAGCCAACTTCTGCAGAGCAGCTGTGATGCAAGACTTGTCACCTCTGTGACAATGCCACCCGTGGCTGCCAGTGGAGACAAAGCAGGGAATTGGAGAGCAGAGCAGTGAGAGGGGAGTGCGGAGATGGACCGTACTGCAGCAGCCTAGGGGTGGAGCAGAACACACGAACTCAAAGCGGTGGGGCCAGCCAGGCATTTGCCGAAGTCAGTGACCTTGGAGGCACAGGGTGCGTGACAGTGGCAGGAAGCTACAGCACGTAGCATTTCCTCAGGGTTGTAGTGGAGGTTCCTCTACTCAACAGTTGCGACCTCCCAAGAGTTGGTCCCAAGCGCTGGCAAAGGGAACTGGCAGGTCGGAGTTCATAGAATGGTTTTGGTTGGAAGGGACCTTCACTTATCATCTGTCCAACCCCCCTGCCACGGGCAGGGACAGCAGCGGCTCCTTCCTCTGCTGCAGCCTTTCGTACTTGGAGCATTCTCCTTCCTCCAGCTGCGACCTGGAATGGTCGCAGCCCTGAGCTCCTGCCCCTCGCTGCTGGGTAAGCTGGGAAGGGGCTCTCTGGTGCCTGGTTAGTCCCAGCTTCTGCTTCTACGGCTGGTAGCCACGACTGCCCAAGATAGATTGCGTAGTGCAAAACCTGACGCTTGTCCTCATCGACTGGAGCGTAGCCAGTTTTGAGCGTTTAAAAAACCAAACCAACCAACCCACCCACGCTCTTCATGAAAGCTGACAAGATAACCCATGTCTTCATAGCTAACCCGGCACCCTAGTTTCACAAACAGCCTTGCAAAATTCTTGTTTGTGAATTCCACAAGCATGCTAAGAAAACATACGTGGTATTTCTTAATTGTTAAGAAAATTAGCTGGACTCTACACCTAGTCTTCTCTAGTCAGATGAAGCTGGGTTGTTTTACAGAAAAAACAAACAAAACCAAACCCAACTTCTAGAAGTTACCAGTTAAATTTCTATAGAAAGCTGCCTTGGAAGTACTTGGCATTTTTAAGTAATACAAGCTCCTTCTCTCTTCTAGATCTACTGGTATCGACAAGGAGACCTGGAACCTAAATTTAGGAACCTAATTTACTATATTTTATTTTCTATCGTCATGTTATGTATATGTGCCAACCTGTACTTCCATGAAGTGGGCAAATGATGGACACTGGGAATACCCAGCAATGATGCTACTGTGTCAGACTGCTTTCAGCTCAGCCCGAGACATTTAAGTGAGGACAATCAGCCTGAAAGAAGTGGGTTGTGCAAGGATAAATCAGTACATGATTTTCATGTAAATGTATATGTAATGTCCCTCTTGTTGGGGAGAATTATTGCCATAAGACGTGACATTCTGCTTTTTTTGAAGAGCTACTGTTGCACTTAATGAACATCCCAGTTGTACTGATGTTTCAGAATGGCACAAGCTTTTTCATTTTGGAAAAAAATGCATTTTTTTATTACTGTACAAATAAACTGCAGCATTGCAAGGATCTGTAGCAGTATAAATAAATGGCATCTTACAGTTACGTAAGACAAATACTCTTTATTTCGTTTAAACTGAATATACAATTATTTCTGTTCCCTAGGCAACCATTTGAAACTACAACTTATTTTTCACATTAACAAAACCACAGACTGAAAAAGACCAACTCTTGATTATGAAGAGCTAATTACAGAAATAAATAAAATAATTTATACATGAGTCTTTAGTTGCTATAGCTTTTTCCTCTCGATCCCTAGCTAACAGGCTGCTCTCAGCCTAGTGTCTGTTTCAAACCCTTGAATGTAGGAATTAAGTGGCTTCCTTTGCCTCGGGGCCCTATGCCCAAATTCTCACAGAGCTATTTCTCCAAGACTTTGCCACCTCCGCACCACCCCCCATCTACTAACTTGCTGCATAAATCACCTCTGGAGAGGTGGCTGGTAGTGTCATGTAAACAGCGAGAGAGAAAAATATTCCAGCCTACTCACAACAATCTTCAAAGACGTTACAAGCTTGTGGAGGGAGGCTGGTGGGTCCCAGTAGCTTCCCTTTCTCATAGCCCTTCCCTTTTTATTCAGCTTGCTGTAGTGATGAAGGAAAAGAACAAAGAAAAAAAAAAAAAAAAGATTTTCCACAAGTGATCTTTCTGAGCTCTGTCCATTGCCAGCAACGGACTCCGCAGGAACAAGCAGACCAGACAAGTCCCATAAGCATCTGTGTCTTCTTATGCCATAGACGTAGTAACAAGCCAGATGAGATGGGAATACAGACCATTTCTTCATGATGCTGCCCTTGCTCCCTGAACTCTTTGATGGAATACATTTCTTCCGGAAATGTAACAGTCTCTTACTCCATGTATTACAAGAGTCAGTAAGTGCAGAAATTCTCACCCATTCTTCATGAAACATGTGCAAACTAATTCCTGCTGCGGCACTAAGAGGCTACAGTCCACAATCCTTGACTTCTGTCCAGTCTTCCAGATGCGCCGTTCAGCACACCAGTAACAAGTCAGATCAGAATTGACCACGTGGATCCCAGCAGTGAGCACTGCAACAGAGGTTCTTTAAAACACTGAAACACCTCAGCTGAGACGCAGGACATCAGGCTTCAGCTGGCTGCTCTGGAACTCTTTACAAATGAGGTAAATAGCCTGAGCAGAGAAAGTGCACTGTAGTCACTTCAAACTGGAAGTTTCTGTTTAAAGACACGGACTGACTGCTTTCTTTGGAAATGTGGCACAGGGTTGTAACTAATTTCACAATGCGAACATGGTCAATAGAAAATGGACACGATTACTGCTTCTCAGTGACAGCTCACTAAATCTTCAACATCCTTTAAATCTTCTGAGTCAGGACTGCCCAACGATGAGCCAATAATGTGTGACCCATCTCCGTGATGTTGTAGGATAGGATCTGTCAAGACACAGTATATTAAAACTATTACTTACTGTGCCATTATAACAAGATATAAAATACACACTTAAGAGACAGAAAACGCAGCCTGGGATTTTAACCAAGTTTAAGCAATGTTGCTCAAACTAGGCAGTTCTCAATTTCTAGTTTCAAGGTAAGCTATGACTAATATGGATTCAACTGGTGTGACTCACATCAGGTATACTGTATCAGGCCTAGTGCTGACCCTCTGATGGCTCTGCAACGAGATCCTTCCCCTGGAAAGGAGTATTTGCTAGGTGCAGCAGTGGGAGAATATATCTGTGCTGCTTTCAAGTCTGAGATGACTCTTGGCATCGGGAAGCACAGCACAAGCTAGCAAACCCTTCCAGGCGAGCGCTGTGCAAACACCCCCCCCAAATAGCCCAGCCTCTCACCATGAGAGGCATCAAGTGCATTTCTGATGCCTCTGGTCTTCTCTCAAATAAGAAACAAATTTCATTCAAGCACCAGGCATGAAGAAATGCACACTAAAGAGTGAGTTACTTATTAGCCTATGTGTACTAATTCAAGGCTCAAGGGTGGTGGAAACAGCTCAGCAAGTGATGAAGCAGCTGCTGTTCTAATGCTTTTCCCACAAGGTTCAGTGGAACTTGCTTCCACTTCTGCTGATACCACAGTTGGGTAAACAACTTGCTTAAAGTTTTGTAGCAATGACATGGAAAATTATTTAAGAGAAAGTAAGGATCTGCAAAGCGTTGTTTACAGGAAGTCAAAAATGCCATACTGCTTTAATGAATCCTAGCTCCAGCATCAACCAAATGAAGCGACTGTCATACCTGTTAGAGTTGTCAGGGGCAAGACTGATTCGCTGTCTATATCATCTGTTGCCTGGATAAAACCATGGGAAGAAGGAACAATAAGCACAGTCTCATCATCTATTGTAGGCTGATCAACTTGTTCTTCTATCGTTGGAGAACCCAGGTCCTGCGCAACACAGAAGAACAGGACATGAAAATGTACTCTTGGTAGCATAAACAGAAAAACCTGCTTCGCTCAGCCATACTCCATAGTAAGCAATAGACTCCCTGGATGAATTTCCTCTTGTTAAATGGAAACGTCAGCATCTGAGCTAATTTACTTCAGCATGTATAGGACATATTTCATCCTAGTGCAGGCATCTAAAGATGAGAAGAATTCTACCCCGTGAGCAGTATGAGGGCAGGGGGAGAGGAAAGGAGAGTCTGCAAGGTGGTGATAAAATGTTCTCTTTTAAGTCAAATGTTCTGTCTATAAAGAGGAATAATAAAGCTTTTCCACTACTTGCGTAGATGTTCTGAGATACTGAAGCAATACCTTTATAGTACTTACCAGCTCCACAAACACAATAGCTTTACCTGATCTTAATACCTAGTTTCACAAGACCTACTTCCGTGTCAAGTGTTAACTACTGAACACAGAGCTCAAAAGACCCATTTTAATTGCCGTCTCACTCACTGACTGTAGGTTGGCTCCAAACTTTTTTAGCTGAACCTCATTATATCAAAAAATTGGCAACACACTGATTCCTTCCAGGTACAGGTTGTCAATACCCCTGCTCTCTTCCAGTCCTGTAATAGCTGCTGCTACTCCCCCTTCCCTGGCTCTTGTAGTACTGGAATGGCAGTAATGGCTTACTCAGTGTCACAGCACACTCCGGCAGACTCCTGGTTCTGCAAACGCAGTGAAAAGACATCCTAGGTAGTACTGCCAGAATAAGCAGAGATATTTGGATTCCAGTTTTTGTATGTAACGCGCGTAAGGTTTGTTCAAGCTTCAGGCATCACTGATGCAGAATGCCAGCAAATGCTGCTGGCAGAATGGAAGGTACCTGGATTTATCACTGTTTTCAGAGGGAGCAGGAAATGTCTGGGAGAAGTTACAGCCCTCTCTGTTGAAGAAAATCCTGAAGTTCCTCCACCTAGTTATAGCAAAACTTAATTTCCTACGTAGTTTCCCAATGTTTTTGCAAAGGCAACTGCCTGAAAACCCCTTCCCTGGTGCTGCTGAAGAGCAGGGGACTACCTGTGCTGCAGCTCAGTGAATTAGACTGGGTCCAAACGCATACCCATTCATGCAAGGCACAGTGTGCCTGACCTGCAAAAGCAGCTTTCTGCAGAGAGCACAGCGGAACCTGCGCATGATAAGCAGTTATGTTGCAAGGCTTGAAACTGGGAAAAGGAGGTGTGAAAAACTAAAGAAGCCATTGTGGCAAATGGGCACCCTTCCCAGCCAGAAATAAAAAAAACCCTGCAGCATGACTGCCTGCTTCACACTACCCAAACCCACAGTGACAATACAATACTGACAAGTGCGTAAAAATAACACTGACTTAAAGAAAGCAAAATCTAGGCATGTCTTTCTAGAGTAACTTTTCACTTAGTGAACCGTCTGTGAGTGATTCTATTTCCTAGAATTTAAATACACATGTCAAATTTGAATCTGACTAGAAGTGTAAGGCAAAGTAGAATTACAAACTCAGTTTGTTTTTCAGCATAGAAAAAGCTTCAACCTCTTCATATCCTGCTAGCCATAAGTGATTTCTACAACATTTAATTAGGGACTAGGTTTCTAGCAAAAGTTTGCTAATTCTACCTTGAGAAGCTGGAATTTTAAACTGAGAGTAGAAAGCTGATGGGCTGCCTCAGCTGTTGAGAATTTTATCACAAGTATGCCAACCATAAGACAAGAAAGAGGAAAATGGAAGAATAACCCCCATCTTCGGATGTATTCAGGATTCAAACGCTTCTGTAGTAGGAGACTGTTGAGACGTACAAAGATCCTCCTCTTTGTAAAAGCATAATGGATATCCAGTGTCTATTATAAAAATTTTCAAAGACAAAGCCTAACAAAGTCAACACATATCAACAATGGATTTTCAAGACTGATAAAGCAAAATTACAGCAACTGTAGAGCACAGTGTTCTAGACAACAGGATGGGGGATTTGAACCTAACTCATCTCTTTCCGCAGTCTAACCTCATCAAGGTTAGACTGTCCAGCTTCTAAGGAAAGAGGTATTTGCTACCCACTACAGAGAGTTATCTTCTTTTTAGCATCAGTATTTTCCTTGACTTACTCATTATCATAGTTCCAGCAACTGAAAGATGGAGGAATTTAGTATAAACAATCCAAATGCCTGAAATGATTTGGATAAACTCATTTCTGCATCTCAGGTGTTGGAGCTGAATAAAACTGAGGCCAGAGAGAGAAATAAGCGCTTAATTCTTCAAATTCCAATTTAACAGATACTTACTTGGAGTAGTATGTTTAATAGAAGGCCTCAAAAATGGAACCTGTGGTGCTCCTCAAAATATGTTATTAGATTCATAGAGCAAAAACTAAATACTCTACCTCCACCTCCCCTGCTCAGCAGTCTATCTACCTGTAAAGTATGTGTGTTGGACAATTAACAGCCTAGTTTGAAGCAGCATCATCAAATAGTAATCACATGAAGGCAACTGTTCGGTGCCACTAATATTCCTGCTTTCCACAGTCATCACGCAAAAGTACCCTGAGTAGTGAAGCAACTCCACAGCTAGCGAGGTATTCGATGCTCCAGACAAAGTAAAATACAAGCCTTAGTACCAAATTAAATGCTATCACTTT